TCCTTCTGCCTCAGCCTCTCGAGTAGCTGGGACTACAGGCATGCGCCACCATGCCCGGCTAATTTTTTTCTATATATTTTTAGTTGTCCGATTAATTTGTTTCTAATTTTAGTAGAGACGGGGCCTTGCTCTTGCTCAGGCCGGTCTCGAACTCCTGAGCTCAAACAATCCGCCCACCTCAGCCTCCCAGAGTGCTAGGATTACAGGCATGAGCCACCGCGCCCGGCCGGCATCTTTGGTCTTTAGAACCACAATGAAGCAACAACCACATAGCAGAATCAGAAGAGAATAGGGCGCAGTAAGAAAGGTGTTTTCTCTTGGCTTGCTCCTTGAGAAAACAATGTCTACATCTGACTGTCAGACAATAGCAAAGGTGGTCATACTCATTACTTCTAAATACATTTTATATCTGGCTTCTAAAATACATTTTACCTACTACTGCTATCAGGCAACATAATATAGCTTCTAAGTACAACTGGGTTCAAATCTCAGCTACGTGACTGCAGGCAAATCCCTTAGCCTTCTAAGCCTCAGTTTCTTCATCTGAAAAATGACAATAACAATATTATTTCCTAATTAACCTAAATCAAAGAATTGCAGTGAGGATGAAAATGAGATAATATATATATAAAGTGCTTGACAGTGCCTGGCACAGATTAGCTGTCAACAGATGCTGACTGTAATTATTTATGGTCCTGTCTTCCGATTAATTTTAAATGTTGTCTTCCCTGCTAGGCTATATGTTTCATAAACGCAAGGCCCGTGTCTCATCAATGGATGTCCATCGCCTGGAATAGTGAGTGCCCACCCCACAGAGGGAGCAGCACGTTTACGAATTAACAACAGCAGGAAGGAGACATGTAGACTTGGGGTTGGGAATACGTGACCGTTTTGGTGTGCTTTAGATTCAGTAGCTGAATTTGGTAAAAATGTGCAAGTTTGGTTGAGCCAAATTTTTTAAAATTGTGGTAACAACACTACTGGGCCAATTTTATAATTGAGAGCTGCTATATCTTCACACACTGGAACCTTTTCCCTTTCTCTGCTCCTTCTCTCCTCTACCACCCTAATGTTTCCCTCTCCTCTGGCCCCTTAACTTTTGCCTATACTGTCTGCCCCTTTGCTTCCCACATATCTTGGCTTTTTAAATGTATTGACTCTGATTCTACCAGTGCTTCCTTCTCCTTTCGACCCCCATCCTGCTCCTCTTCACTTAGGAGAGAGCACAAAGGAGACATTAAATCAGTAATATAACATGGTTCCAGGCACAGCCCCTCATACGCATTTCAACGTTCATGAAATCAAGGGAGAGGGCTGGCAGGTTACTGTGCAAAGAGCCCTGAACGGGAATTCCAGAGGCCTGGTTCTTGCCCAGGCTCTGCCCCTGACCACCAGGCTCCTCTGCGTCCTTGTTTCCCCATCTGCAAAATGTGGCTAGGCTGGGCTCAGAGGTTGGTGAGGAGGGCAGTGAGTAGGTATCATTGTTGCCAACTCTTTCCACCACAAGGAGCATTTGGAAATTTAGTTTTCACAGTAGATAGGGAGAGTAGTGCGACTGCTGTGGAACCAGGAACACCAACTTTCCTGCAGAGCCTGAGTCAATCTCACTCACACAAAGAAGAAGTAGAAACAGCGCCCTCCACTGATAAACACTGCATGACCTCCAGGGTCATCTAGGTCATGGTAAGTCTGTGATGCTGCAATAATGACCCATGCAAAGGAATCAACAGCTTTGCAATCAACAGCTTTGCAATCAACAGCTTTGCAATCAACAGATGACTTCAAAGTAAGTGCCACAAATCATACCTTCAACAATGGCTGTTCACCTATGGAAGCGCTGAGAGAGGGTGGGGGATCTGCAGACACATACAGAGGGTCTGCTGGCTATTGCCCTTTGCCTTCCTGATTCCCCAATAAACTCTCTTTCTAGATTCAACTAGAGCAGTGGGCCCCACTTTTTTGGCACCAGGGACCAGTTTCACAGAAGACAATTTTTCCAAGGATGGGGAATGGGGGATGACAACTGATAAGGAGTGGCTGTAAATACAGATGAAGCTTTGCTTGCTCATTCGCCGCTCACCTCTTGCTGTGCGGCCCAGCTCCTAACAGGCTACAGGCCAGTACCAGTCCACAGCCCGGGGCTTGGGGACCACAGAACTAGAGTATCACCTCCTCTGATACGTCACTGTGTCAAAGCTTCCTAACCTCTGTCTACCAATGAACATGTCCATGTTTCTATTACTACACTGAGCTCAAAGGTCAGTAGTCCTTCTCCCATCTGTTTTTCCTTTCGCTCTCCCTTCCCTCCCCTCTGGCTTCATTTGTGGCGCAACCTTTCCTCCAAATAAAACCTTAAATGGCTCTAGCAAGGGCTTGACCACCCAAGTCTGGTCTGCTCTGACTCCCTACTCCCCTCTGCCACATGGGAGTTCCTGAGGTACCTCTGCCAGAGTGCAGTGTAAGAAATTTTGCGCTAGATTTTTAACTCCTTAAGAAGCAGGACATCTTTTTTGAGTGAATAATTTGTTGTGAGAACACCTCAACACCTAGTTCTATCAGCAGCCTGGGGCTGAGCAGATCCAGCCCATGGTACTGGCCCAGAGCCAGAGCTTAGACAGGATAAAAGCAATCCATGTTACATTTCAACACAAGGCATTAAGCAATTCTTGGTTTGAAATAAATAAAATATCTTTTTTTAATAACTTAGGGTACATGGCTTTTTGTTTTTGTTTTGTTTTAGTAACTGCTATGAACGTCACTGAAGGTAGCACTGGAAAAGAAAACAACCTTATTTTTCTTCCATTTTAAATTTCACTTCAAAGCTGAAATAACAGATCTCAGTGGGCCTGACAGATGACTGAATCCTACACCTTGGGATGGCAGTTTGGGCTCAAGTGAGATTCTGGAGGTGGAACGATTAGCAGCCTCAGATCAGTCCCAGGCAAAGGTATCCACATGCGCTGAAGGCTGCTGAGCTGTCAGACCTTGATGATCAGGGGAGGGCCATGAGGGAACCCGCCCAGCAGGAGTTGCCTTTTCCACCACCAGAGACTGTCAAACCGAATCATGATCCAGATTAAGGCAGACATTGAGGGAATGGAAGGAATCAGCTGACCTAAAGATGACTGGAAACCTGAGGCACAGTCATTGTTAAGGCAGTATTTAAAGAGGCGAATTTATAAAATCACGAATAAATTTAGTAGAAAGAGTCCCTAAGGCACCTAATCCAATCCTCTTCTTTTAGAAATGAAGCCAGAATCTCACAGCTAATGAGATCCTAAACTCGGGACACCTTCTCCTCGATCCCACTTCTGCCATCCAGCTCCTAGATTACAAGTTCCTATCACTAAAATTTGAAAATAATTTTTTCAACAAACCTTTTCACATTTTACTTGAGTTAAACATTGAACTATTCATTTCTGCTTTGCATAGGATTTTTTTAAATTTATTATTTTTTTCTATTTGGAGGCAAGGCAATGAATGAGAGAGGATGTTCAGGAGAATTTTGAAGGCAAAATTTAATGTTACTCTCAATTTTAATTTATCTCCACTTATAAGAGAAATTAAAAATATAAACAGACACCATCTAAATTTAGATCTAATGTACATGTTCAAAGCCTGGCACGATGGTGAGCGCCAGAAGTCCTCATTACTCAGGAGGCTGAGGCAAGAAGATCGCCTGAGGCCAGGAGTTCAAGGCCAGCCTGGGCAAAATAGTGAGACTCAGTCTCTAAATGAATAAATAAATCCGTGCTCAACCAAGGACTAAAAATTAAATTCTGAAAACAAAAAAACTTCTAAAGGGAGACAAAAGAGTTAAAAAATTTTCTCCACAAAAATTAGAGAAAATGTCCTGTCAGACTGCAGTTGCTGAGTCATCTCTTAATAAAGGAATGAACAGCGATTTTTTTCCTCCTACAATAACCAATAACAGCAAAAGCTTGTGAACACACTAAATCCAGAAAAATAAAATTGATATTCCGGTATGACCCAAAGCCTAATGTCAAATAATGTCCTAAAGCATAAAAAGCCCGTCGATGGGAGAGGAGGAAGAAAGGCATCAAAACAGGGAAAGCGGAGTGTTTGGGGTCACACGGTGCTGGGGGCACAGTTCAGCCTGGTCCTCAGACACACAAACTACTCTGTTCCCCTTCTTCCTTTCTCCTCCTTTGAAGTAAAGAACTATGCTCATTCTTGCTCCATATAAAAGAATTCAACATCAGGGAGAAATCCAAATCTCTCAAGTACTGCAGTACTTTACCCCTTCCTGTACT